CCACCCGGGTCTGGGGGCCCCGGGGGCGGGGTCCGGGGGCCCCGCGGACCCGAAAGGAGGGGCTGGCGAGCTCCAGGGAGGACAATAGAAGCCCCCCTTGGCCGTCGGCACCTGCCCCCGCTGCTCACCCTACCCCACCCAAGCGGCAGCCTCACTCCTTGGCTTTACGAGGAGTCTTTCTTGTCCACACCCATTTAGGGAACAACCCCATCTTCCCACCCCAAAAGGCCAACATGAACGCCTCCCAGCTCCCTGTCCTGTGTCGAGAAGGGACAGACAAGGTACTCTGAGCTTTGGCGGATCTCTGTGGGGTGGGGGAGGCAGGAAAAGGCTACAACAGGCACTGAAATATCGAGGAGGAAGAAAACATGGGGCAAGGCTCCAAACACCTGAGTCAGCAGGGCTGCTGTGCAGAAGGGTGGCGCTGGGTTGCTATGAAAGCCCTGAGCTTCACTCTCCTCTGCAGTAGGGAATACCCCCCTTCTTCCCCAGGGGGCTGCTATGAGGTTCCAAATGGACCTTGCATGTGGGGATGCTCTGCATCCCTGCCAGGCTCAGCACCTGGCATGCAGCTGCTGCTCAGTGAACACTGATGTTGGCAATTGCCATAAGGACACAAGCCAGTCACAGAAGTGACAAGGTTGGTGGGAAGTGAGCAGTGTTTTCTGTCTGACTCACTCCCCAGTGTCGCTTGTACCGCTGAAGTCTTGGTCCAAGTGAAGCCAGTGAAATTTGGTGGAGTGGGGTGGGGCTATGTAGGGAGATGGTTTGTGCATATGGCTGAGGTCTTCGAGGAAAAAAAAAAAGAGAGAGAGTCTACTGGTCAGAAAAGAAGGGAGGGAGTGAAGGGGACAGGCAGCCGACTCGACAATACCACTGGCTTAACATCCTCTCGGGGGCAGATGTTATAGTGAAAACATCCACCATAAGGTTCTTCTGTTACTCAGGCAACAGATCTTCAGGGAGGGACTCAGCCACAGCGTCCAGATGTCCCCAAGCAGTCACCTGTGCAGTCTGCGTGCTCAGACCGTGCTGGAGTGGTGTAGCTGTTTACACGCCCCTCCTTTTCCCGTCTTGAAGCTCCCCAGTTTGGCAAGTCTAGAAATGGGTCTTTTGTTCTCAAGAGACTCCCCTCCCCCACAACGTGTCTGTGAGGTGGCTTTCTGTGGTTGGCTTCCAGCTGCCTTGAGCCCCTCCCTGCCCCTGTTCAGGGGGTCCTGGTGAGCACTTTTCCCTGGAGCTGGCTGTGCCTCCCTTTTGAGCAAAGGAAGAATCTTTGCATCCTGTCAGCCAGGG